GCATTGCATTTTGTAGCTTTTGTCTTTTTCTTTAAGGCAATCATTGTAACTTCTGTAAAGTCCTTGGGCCACTCTCCACTTTCATATATGGTGTTCATTAGTTTTGTCAGTGTTTTCAAACCACCTTCTCCCAGTAACTTGAGCACATCTCCAGGTACATCATCATCTCCTGTAGCCTTTCCCTTACTCATTTCCTTGATAGCTTTTTCCACGTCACTTTGTAAAATATATGTTCCTTTCCCGTCTGTATCTACTTCTTCTTCTGGTTCAACTTCTAAGGATTCTGGCCGATTAGGTCGATCATATAGTTCTGTAATATACTTTTCCCAAATTTTCAGCACTTGGCTCTGATCTACTATTCTATTCCCCTGGGAGTCTTCGATGCCAACATTTTGAATCCCATGATTCTCTTTCCATCCTAGTTCTTTTGTCTTCATGTACATCAAATCATAATGTCCTGTCCTTTGAAATTCCATAATCTCATTACATATCTTCTCAAGATATTCCTTTTTGACCCTGTCCATGGCTCTTTTCAATTCATTCCTCAGTCTCCTGTATTTCCTCCTCCCTTCTTCATTGTTGACATTCTTCCATTTCCTTCGCTCCTCCATTTTACTCATCATCTCCTGTGTAACCCATGGTTTTCTTGCTATCTTCTCAACTTTACCAACCAATTCACTTATAGTATCTAACATGCATTCTTTTATGTTGTTCCACTGCGCTTCAGCTTTCCTGCTTTCACTTTTAATTGCACCGAGTTTCTCTTCTAGGGTCTCTTGCATGCTTTGTCTTTGAGCATATAACTTCTCCAAATCCCATCTGGGTCTACGCTTTCGAAATCTTATAATTTTCTTCAACCTGGTTCGGAACTTGGCAACCACTCCCACTATATCTGACTCGTAATATTTTGACATTTATCTTGCAAGTATTATGAGTGAACCTGCCTTATACAAACTTCTTATGCTCCATACCAAATCTGATCCCATTTTCCTTTGTTCGGGTGAGTCATCCAAATCAAAGGTCGTGCATAACATTTTGTATCAAAATTATCTTTTATGGCCAGAAGTTGTTAGCCCCAAGCCATTCCCCCCCCCAGCTGGAAGACCACCTCTTATTGGTTGTCCACGACTGCTTATTCAGTATGTTCACACCTACCCTCCATACCCTGAGGCCATCTCATCCAGCTGTATTCTGAGGATGTGCCGTGCCATGGTGACAAGGGACCTGCTTAACATGGTGCCAACCACTAACCTCATAAATATTTGAAAGGCATCTACTGCAGCGGAATTAGGTTAATCGATAATCATCTTCTTATAATCAGATTCTTTAATCATGATAACTATTTATGCAAGTATTAAAAGAGTATCCCATATCTCACTCCTGCTTTGCAGATGAATTTACCCCAACCAAAATATTCACTTATAAACAGATGTAAGTAATAATGGGATGGTTCCTTCATATGATTATTTTAGTGTAACTATATTATAAGATGTCTGTAAATATGTAAATAGCTGTCACAACTCTGTGTTCATATTTATATTTGTATTGGACACAAGTGCTATATTTACATTATGGTATGTTCTACATCCTTTTATGAAGGATCTATTCTGTTCTAAAAAAGTTTCCCCCATCTTGTGTCCTGGGCACTGAGTTGCAAAACATCTTCCATCACCTCTCTTCATGACCACTGGGTCTCCAAAAGAATTTTCGGTCACCTCTTTTCCTCAATCACATGGTAATTTCCTACTGGATACCATCCCACTCTTTAGGTCATCCAATCACAGTTCAATCTCTGAATCAGTGAGCACTGCTAGAATATAAGGACTTCTGAAATCTGTGAAGACTCTAGACTCTGACAAATGACTGACCTGTCTCCTTGTCATACAGGGTGCCCCACAAGGACAAGACAGTAACAGTCAAACAGAATCTAATATCTCAACATCAAGATACACTGACTGACTGACTGTCAGTCAAAATGTGGTGCTGACTTTGAATTGAAGACACTAACCCTGAAGGGGGCATCTGCGATGTTTATTCAAGTGGAAAACCTTCAACCTTCTATGCAATGCTCTCCCAAAAGTCAAAAAGACATATGTCAAACTGCTGCCATAAAAACCTAAGAACTATGTTCGATTTATTGTATCATTTACTACATTCCTCCACAAAAGTAAAATTAAATCTGTAAGAAAAGTAATACCACAGAAGTAAATAAAAAGAACCATAATACACAATAGGGTGTTAAAAGTTGTAGTACAGGTACACCTTGATTTGTGAGATATATGCCTTAAAAAATCATAGAGAGTGAAATTGCAAGAATCAAATTGGCTAGGAAAAATGTTCCCTTCTCTCCTCACATACCTCCTCCAATAAACAGACCATACTCTACTCCCAGTTCTCTCAATCAGCAAGCAGACAAGTTGCATTAGCGTGTCAGTAACTGAAAATGCATTTCTTGAACTTCCTTATAACAAGGAGTACCTCGTTATAGAGGAACTGTGGGGTTTAAACTGAATTATCAGTTCCCAAAGGAATTATTAAATACAATGAAAACACACTAAGTGAATACCACATAAAAATTAGCAACATAAGAGATGTTATGAGAAGGAGAATTCCAGGCTTTTCCAGTGAATGCTCTCATTTGTAGGTCACGCTCCTACAGAAGGGTACAAGCAGCAGCTTGGGTGGAGCAGGCAAGTGCTAGCCAGACTGCTGATGTCACAACAAAGGTACCAATGGGGGCAAGAAGAATTATAACACATTTCAAGTATGTAAAGTAACAGTGGTTTAGGTACTACGCTACAAGATGGAAGGTTGCGGATTCAAGCCCTGATGAGGTCATTGGATTTTTTCAATTGACCTAATCCTTCCAGCCACACTATGGTCCTGGAGTCGACTCATCCTCTAACAGAAATGAGTATCAGGAATTAATTAAATAATTTTCCTGGGGAGTAAAGTGTGCATAAGGCTGACAACCTTACTGTCATCTTTGAGCTGATTGTCTAGATAATGTGGGACCCTCAACGTCTCACAACCTTATGGGCCTTCACGGCCTGGTACAGGGATAGCTTAACTTTTTACTTCACTTTACTTTCAAGTATGCAGATGATTAATGGTATCTGCAGACACAAAATATAATTTGTATTTTACCCACAACAAAAGGTAAAATAATTTGATATGAAATTTTCTGTTAATACAATAATGCTGTCACTAGCTCAGACTAAACAGAATCCAGTGATGGGACAATTAACAAATAGGAAAGGATGTTGATGAAGCTGTGGTTGAATGTGAGGTACTAACTTGAACATCTGCCTGTAAATACTGATAAAACACACACACACACAAAAACAGTTCTCAGGACAGGTAAAGTCCCTGCCAGAATCTGAACTTGGCACCTCCGGAATACAAGAGAGAGGGATTATCAATCAGACCAACTCACTCAACAGACTATGGTGACTAATTGACTAAGTATGTGAATGTAAACATTTAAACAATTTCAAAAGCCTAGATTTCAGATCAGATTAAGAACAGAGAAAGTGAATATTTATAAACACCCTTGGTAAAATGCCCATTGGTGGATATCTGAAACAAATAAAATACTGGCAGATACGTTACAGTTGTGAAAAAGAAAGTGTCAGAAATAGAGAATTAAAACTCTTAGCTGGCTATAATGATTAGGTAAAATATATTCCAATTGTCTCTGTGCATTATGAAGATGGGGAAGTGCATGTAGAGTTCCATGCACTCTCAATCTAGACACAAGAGTGTGGTGAGTGGTCAGCCTCACACTCAGCCACTTTACACCCATCAGAAGGGACTCCAGTATCCACTGGACAGGAGACTGGGTGGGTCCCAGAGGTAGCTGGACACTGAGAAAAAAAGAATAAGCTCTTGTTTTTGCTGGGATTGAAACCCCACAAGACAAGCCTGTGGCCGGCCAGTCTACTGGCATATGGCATAAAGGAAGTGTCATTATACATTTGACTAGCTTGCTAAATATAGGTAGAGATAGCAGGAGAAAGACAGGTTACCTAGAATTGCTTGAAATTACTTTAGATCATGGGGGAGGGCTGGAAAAGGATTTTGAGGGTGGTATATGAGGTAAGATGCTAATACACGAAGAGGAAAAAACCCACAAATGTAAGCACCAAACATCACTCTTTCCTG